CAGAACCGGATCCCCAGCATCCGGCGTACTATTTGCCTCATCACGCTGTTGTGAAGAAACACGACCCCACTGCGAAGATTCGAGTAGTCTTCAACGCGTCGTTCCGGACCTCTTCAGGATACTCTCTCAATAATTGTTTGGCAATTGGACCTAAAATGCAAACTGACTTATGGCTCATTCTGACCCGGTGGCGTCTGTTTCGTGTAGCTTTTACTACTGATATTATTAAAATGTTTCGTCAAATAAAGGTACACCAGGCAGATGCGGATTGGCAAAGGATTTTATGGCGTCCGAACCCTGGCGTTTCAGTGCAAGATTACCAATTAACCACAGTCACCTATGGGACCGCCTGTGCCCCCTTTTTGGCATTGAGGGTGCTGGCACAACTGGCTAAGGATGAAGGAGGTCGTTTTCCCCTTGGAGCTCGAGCGATACAACGACATACATATGTCGACGATATTCTAGCCGGAGCGGATGATTTAGAAAATGCATTCGAATTAAAACGCCAGGTTATATCTATCTTTAGAGCTGGTGGATTCGAACTAAGTAAGTGGGCTTCGAATCTACCGCAGCTTCAGGAAGAGGACAGTACTGAATCCCACCGCTTTCATGAGAAAACAGGAGTTAGTACCTTGGGTGTAATCTGGTGTCCCCGCGACGACACTTTTTCTCTTCGGGTCGCCGGTCCAATGAGCCAATCGGATAAAATCTCAAAAAGATCGATCCTCTCGGAGGTGGCGAGCTTCTTCGATCCACTGGGCTGGACAGCACCTGTGTTAATTTACGCCAAAATATTATTACAAGATCTCTGGCTACTCGGTATCGATTGGGACCAAGACCTACCTGAAGCTATCCAAACCACTTGGCACTCCTTCAGGACCTCCCTTAGCCAGCTCGACGCTCTTTCAATTCCACGCTGGACTCGCTACTTGGGAGATCGCACCGAGAAGGTGGAGTTGCACGGGTTCTGCGATGCATCTCAAAGGGCCTACGCTGCAGCCGTCTATCTGCGAGTAATGCATAAGGGAGAAATTTCAACCATGCTTTTGGTGGCGAAGACCAAGGTGGCCCCAGTCAAAGCCCTGACAATACCAAGGCTAGAGCTGTGCAGCGCGGTACTTTTGTCAAAACTCATGACCCAAGTAAGGGACGGTCTGGACTTACCGGCAACGTTGACCG